TATACTAGAATCCCCTATAACTAACCCAAAAAGGAACCACATTGGAGCCTTCAGGTAGGCTTACAGGGCTCCGTGTTTAGACAACTGCACGAATAAAGCTCGCGGCGGTCCTGGGTGATGTGCATGCCGCTGGCTTCGAAGATGTCCATGGCCTCCCAAAGATCTGCGTAAGCAGTCAAACCCAGCGGTGAACTAAGAGGCATCTCTTCCTCCCTTCCCTCCCCTCCCCCGCCGCCCTCCCTCCGCCGCCCAAAACTGCCCAAAACCCTAAACCCAAGATTCGGGACGTGTCTGAGGCCTGAAAGCAACAAGAAGCCTGCTCAGCGACCTTCACCCCCAAGCAACCGGCCGTGAAACCCTTTAGGGCTTTAGGGTTTAGGGTTCAGCTTTGGTTTTTATGTGGGTAGGCTTCTTGCTTGCCCGAGTGTTGTTCAGGAGGCAGTTCCAGATTCAAGGCCATCCCTATGTTCAAGCAGCCCATCGAACCCTTCCGAAGTTCCGTGTCCCGCAAGCCTTGATCAAGGCCTCAGGCCGATCCCAGGCGTATGCCTCAGCTGACGTTGCGGTGTTTGTAAGTAGTTTGTATCGGGGGTTTACGAAAACAGGGGGGCCGGTGGCCTCTGAGGTATTGGCGCCCTAAACCCTAAACCCTAAACCCTATAGGGCACGGAAACTAAGAACCACTCAAGTCATCTGTGTCCTCTGAAAAACCAGAGGCTGACCCCTCAGGAGGGGCTTAAGAGGGTTTAAGGTTTAGGGTTTAGGATTTAGGATCTGAGGTTTAGGGAGACTTGATGTCCTTCTTCAGGGCACCATTCCCTGGGGGGCTGCCTCTACCATCCCCCTCAGCTGGGAGAAACTGCCCTGGAACCTTGCCACGCCAGGGGTTAGAGAGTCCCAGGAGGGGAAGCCGATCGAGGGAGGGGATGCACGTAACCCAACCCCACAGTGCTCCCTTAGCTTCCCTAAGGTTTTCGCTCATCCGCCCCCCCCCCCCCCCCCCCCGAGTCTCAAGAATTTTGGGGTGGCACCTACATCAACCCATCAACCCTAACCCAAACCACCCGAAACCCCAACCACCCAAACCCAAACAAAACAACGAAACAACCTCCGAACGCCAAACCCCTTCATCATAAACAGAGAGAGAGAGAGAGAGAGAGTGAGAGAGAGAGAGAACTACACCAGCTCCATATCAACAAAAACAAAGTGGACCCACCAAACAAAGCTCAACCCTAAAACCCCCCGCCCCAAAAAACATGAAACTATTTTACTTCGAACATCCCCACCCTCTGTTGGTAGAGATACTCTGGGGTTGGGCACTCCAGGGACACTCTGGGGCTGGGCACTCCGGATACACTCTGGGGTTGGGCACGAGACTCTGGATTGGGCACTCCAGGGACACTCTGGGTTGGGCACTCCAGGCAGACTCTGGCGCTGGGCACGGGGACACTCTGGTTGCGCACTCTAGGGAGACTCTGGGGTTGGGCACTCCAGGGAGACTCTGGGGTTGGGCACTCCAGGCACACTCTAGAGTTGGGCACTCCAGGGACACTTTGGGGTTGGGCACTCCAGGGATGAGCAAGGAGTAGACTGGAGTAGACTGGGCGAGGAGAAGAGTTCCGGGCGAGGAGCAGAGTTGAGTTTAAAACCTAACAACCCCACACCGAGGGTGGGGAATAAAAACCAACAAGCCCAAAATGCCTCAAAGCCCTAAACCCCAAACCCGTTTTTTGCCCGCCTTCCTGAGCCACCCTAAACCCTAAACCCTAAACCCTAAACCCTAAACCCCAAACCCTAAACCCTAAACCCTAAACCCTAAACCCTAAACTTCGAAGTTCGAGGGTCGAGGCCGCTGTGGAGAACCCGGAAGTGCCACTCATCCAGGAACTGCTGCACTTGCAGGCCGACCTCACGGGCTCCATGGGGTTTAGGGTTTAGGGTTTACGGTTTAGGGTTTAGGGTTTAGGATTTAAGGTTTAGGGTTTAGGGTTTAGGGTTTAGGGTGTAGCATGTAGGGTTTAGGGTTTAGGGTTTAGGGTGTAGCGTGTAGGGTTTAGGGCTTTAGGGCTTAAAGAGCGTCAGGGGTTTTAGGGTGTTAGGGGCTAAGCGGGTGCCACAGGGTGTTGAAATGTGCTAAGAGGGATTCTCGTACCCCCTTAGAAGGGGGGAACATCCCAATATGTTAACCCTAAACCCTTTCTGCATCCGTAAACCCTAAAACCCTAAAACCCCAAACCCCAAACCCTAAACCCTGAACCCTAAACCACAAGCTTAAGGGCTTAAAGGGCGTAGGGGGTGGCACGCCTAGAGCTGGGGCCCTCAGTGAACCGCTGGATCCCCAGCTCCAGGAGTCCCAAGACATGAAAAAAAAAATCTCCCTAAACTAGGGTTTAGGGTTTAGGGTTTAGGGTTTAGGGTTTAGGGTTTAGGGCTTAGGGTTTAGGGTTGAGGGTTGAGGATTGAGGCTTGAGGCTTGAGGTATGGTTTACTATGGTTTACTATGGTTTACTATTTGCTTAGGAGCCCCCCCCGCCCAAAAAAAGACTCATTCATGATCCCTATATTGCCCTTACAGTGCCTTACAGGGAAGAATAATTGTTTGTTTAGTTTTGCTTTTTTTTTGGGGGGGGGGGTTCTTAAGCAAATAGTTGTACACCCCCCTAGGCCATATGTATATATATATATATATGTATGTATATATACATATATAGACTTGTTAGTTTGCTTTTTTGTTTCCGAAACGCCCCTGAGCCCTTTGCATAACCCCAAACCCTCTTCTGCAGCCGGTCTTCAGGAGTCGGCCGGGAACGGTCAGCCAAGACCCTGAACCCTTAAGCCCTAAACCCTAAACCCTGAACCCTGAACCCTAAACCCCCTAAACCCTAAACCCTCAAGCCCTTAAACCCTCAGCACTAAGCTGGCAAGCAGCGGTCACATCGTCGACCTCGTCGTCGAAATGGCGCGGTGAAATAGTGGACATGCCGGCCTGGGGGGGTTTAGGGATTGGGGTTTGGGGTTTAGGGTTTAGGATTTAGGGTTTAGGGTTTGGCTGTTCAGGGGCTTCCCTCGACCCCCTAAACCCTGAACCCCTTTAAAAAAAAAACTAAAACCCCCTAAACCCTAAACCTCCCCCCCCCCAAAAAAAAACAAAACAGCAACTGACCCTAAACCGCTGGAGGGTTCGCACAAAGGCTGCGGAATTGTTCTTGGGATTGTTTGGGGAAGGCCCAGAGGTGCGCACCCGCCGCTTCTCAACTCAGGGCCAATTTTGGTTGACCATTACTGGGGGGGGCCAGAGTTCGGGTGACTTAGCAAGTAGTTCTGAAACTTTTGTACGTGTCCCAAAAGGGGCCCAAATCCCCCCTAAACCCTAAACCCTAAACCCTAAACCCCTGAACCCTCAACCCTGAACCCTACATCCCCCGATCCTCTAGGACTTAGACGTGACGTCCAGCAGCAGCCGAAGTCGCGGCCCGGTGACCCAAGACCAGGTTCCCCCTTTCTAGGGTTTTTTAGGGTTTAGGGTTTAGGGTTTAGGGTTTCGGATTTAGGGTTTCGGATTTAGGGTTTCGGATTTAGGGTTTTTGGGCTTTAGGGTTCGGGGGGGGTACCTTGTTTGGGGTTCCCAGAAGAAGAGTTTTCATGTCTTACGGCATTGAAGGGGACCCATCTTCTGGGGGCCGAGCCTCACACTGAAAATCTCCAAACACGCGCTCCTTTAAACCTTGGGATGTGCCCCCCCTTACACTAACTAACAGTCCTTTATAAGGATTTTAGTATCCCCCATTATAAATTATACTCCCCATTCAGGACTGCTAGCATAGGAACATCCCCACTTAAACCCTATGAGCCAAACACAGCCCTCAACCGCCCCGCGCGCAAAGAAGGACCGGCCTGATCCTCTATTTGTTAACCGTGGACGGCTACGACTTCTGCGCTTGAGCAGAAGTGCCTCGCAGTGCACTGCAAGACTGCCAGGGTTCTTACACAGGGATTTCGTACACTTCTGGGGGTTCTGGGCTTAGGGTTTAGGGGTTTAGTGAGTTTAGTGTTTAGGGTGTAGGGTTCGGGTTTAGGGTTAGGGTTTAGGGTTTAGGGTTTAGGGTTTAGGGTTTAGGGTTTAGGGTTTAGGGTTTAGGGTTTAGGGTTTAGGGTTTAGGGTTGAGGTTTTAGGGTTTAGGGTTTAGGGTTTAGGGTTTAGGGTTTAGGGTTTAGGGTTTAGGGTTTAGGGTTTAGGGTTTAGGGTTTAGGGTTTAGGGTTTAGGGTTTCCGAATTGAGGGAGTTCGGTTCCCTTTTCACGGGTTCAGGATGGAGAGGGTCAGACAAAGGGAATGTGAGGGATTTAGGGGACTGGGCTCTCGAAAAATACTCGAAACATCGCCCCCTGAAAGGTTCAAGGGGGTTTAGGGTTTAGGGTTTAGGGTTTTTTTTTTTTTAACAAAAGGGTTTAGGGTTTAGGGTTTAGGGTTTAGGGTCTTTTTTTTAACAAAAGGGTTTAGGGTTTAGGGTTTAGGGTTTAGGGCTTAGGGCTTAGGGCTTATTGGTTTAGGGTTTAGGGTTTAGGGTTTAGGGTTTAGGCTTTGGGGTTTAGGGTTTAGGGTTTAAGGTCCACCTGAAAGCACCCTTCCCCGCAATGTTGATCCCATCCTTCCTGAGGCTGTCAAGGCAAAGGCCCAACAGAATCTGCAACATCGAGGGAACATTCTATTGCACTATTCTCGTACCGTTATAAACCTCTCATGTTGGTATGCTACTGTATCCTTATATGGTTTCCATATAACATGGCCTGACTCTCTTAAATATCCTTCAGTTCAATCAAATTCATATGATTCGTGGACCAGGGCGGTTGGACTGCGACACATGGCAAGCTTGGGTTATAAGTACAGTTACCCTAAACCCTAAACCCTAAACCCTAAACCCTAAACCCTAAACCCCCGTATTATCGGGATAGGAAGTACCCTGAACCTCCAAGAGGGCTCAAGGCTGAGAGTCGCAAGTCCTGGCTCGCTTGCGGTTCCTGGCCGTGAGCTGCTTCCGCCTCAGCGGCGCCAGGCTCCGTGCACTCACTTGAACTGCAGCTGTCAAGGGCACCAAGTTCAGGGCTCAGGGTTCAGGGTTCAGGGTTTAGGGTTTAGGGTTTAGGGCTTAGGGCTTAGGGTTTAGGGTTTAGGGCTTCGGGTTTGTGAGTAACTTGCAGGCAAGGTGCATTTCCCCAGCTGCTAGATCACGGAGGTTCTTGATGGCCTGATGTCCAGCCGTCAAAGCTTCTGAGCAACATGCACATTGCACGTGTCAAAACATGGCAGTTCCATGCCGCAGCGGTCCTGCTCTTGCTGCCGCGCCGTTGCGTTTTGGTAGGTGAAACGTGTAAAGTTGGCAGTGCCTGAAAGAGCTTTTTTGCCAGAGTCCGGGCTATGGCCTGCCGTAGTGACTGAAGCCTGAGCTCGACGGTAACCCTCAAACCCCACCTTCAACCCAACTGATCTTAACTAGATAGTGACAACACATCATAAGAAGGGGACCCTTTTCAGGGTTGGTTAAGCTACAAGGGAACCTAGAGCAAAATAAAGGGCGGCAGGATATTACCGGGCCACCAAGTTAAGCCACTTGCAGCTTAGCGGGCTGAGGGTTTAGGATTTAGGCGCAGGCTCCGGGTTCCAGGGTCAGGACCTCGTCTGTCATCAATTCGAACTCTTCCTTTGCAGCCTGCGGATCAGTGACTAGAGGTGGGTTTTGGCAGACCCCGGAACCCCTAACTCCCAAGATTTAGGGTAGTTCTAGGGTCGCCTTGGTCCGTTTTATGAGGTGCCCCACTATAACAGGGACCCCAAAAGGGACGCTAATGCCCTAATGTAGAGAACCGCCCATTACAGGTGTTTTGGAGTTTTCGGGGTTGTGGTCCAATGGGTGGATGGCATATCGGAGTTTAGGGGTTTTAGGGTTGTGGCTCTATCTCTGGGGCTTGGGGATAATTTTGGGGGGCCTTAGTAACTAGCATATTGTTCTTATTCTTTTGGTGGGGGGAGGGGGGGGGGTATTCAACTGTAATCCGCCGAGGCCTCGGGCCGAAGGTGAAGGTTGTGAGAACAGGCACCCCCCCCCCCGCCCCCCCACACCCCCCACCCCTTCCCACCACACCCCCACCCCCCACCCCCCCCACCCACTCCCCACCACCCGTGCCCCCTTGGACACTTAACGTCTATTCTGCGCGCTCTTTGTTTTCGCAAACCTCTCTGGGATTGGGTTCTCGTTTGGCGCTTCAACGCGGAAGGCGTTCTATCGGATCGCTTTCTGGCGAAAGAAGCCACGAAGAGGAGACGGTCAACGAAGGACGGTGGGATGACGGAATGAATTTTGACGGGAGGCCACGGAGACGACACGGTCAAGGGAGGGGGGTCGGAACATTTTGCTGGGAGCGGGGCGTGGCGGACCATGCATGGATGTCAGGTTGACGCACGGGTTCGGGAACAAGGATGGGGGGGAGCGCGGACGGGGAGCATTCGGTCGATGAGCAGGAGAGTCACATGCGGACAAGGCGCCCTCCGCGTCCGCGCCCTCCGCGCGCTCCGCGCCCTCCGCGCCCTCCGTGCCCGCCCTCCGCGCCCTCCGCGCGCCCGCGCCTCGGCGCGCTCCGCGCCCTTCGCGCCCTCTGCGCCCTCCGCGCCCTCCGCACCCTCCGCCCTCCGCGCCCTCCGCGCCCTCCTCCGCGCCTCGCGCCCTCCGCGCCCTCCGCGCCCTCCGCTCCGCGCCCTCCGCCTCCGCTCGCGCCCCCCGCGCCCTCCGCGCGCTCCGCGCCCTCGCGGCGCCCTCCGCGCCCTCCGCACCCTCCGCCGCGCCGCCCTTCCGCGCCCTCCGCGCCCTCTGCGCCCTCTGCGCCCCTGCGCCCTCCGCGCCCTCCCTCCGCGCGCTTCCCGCGCTCCGCGCCTCCGCGCCCTCCGCGCCCTCCGCGCCCTCCGCGCCCTCCGCGCCCTCGCGCCCTCCGCGCCCTCCGCGCCCTCCGCGCCTCCGCGCCCCCGCGCCTCAGCGCCCTCCGCGCCCTCCGCTCAGGATACTGGGTGCTAATGCTGAGGGTGCATTGCGACTATTCTGCGGGTGCGTTGCGTCTATTCTGCGGGTGTTTCCTTTAAAGTATTTGTTTTACAAGGGCACGCACGTGCAGCATAGCCTTTAAGTGTCCATCTTACCCCCCCCCCCCCCCGCCCCCCACCCGCCCCCCATCCGAGGGCTCAACAACCAAGCCCCCTCGCCCCCCCTCCCCCCGGGCCTGCCTCAACTTTACGATCAACCGTCTCAACCCTCAACCTTGAACCTTGAACCTTGAACCTTGAACCTTGAACCCAAAAAAACCCTAAACCCCAAACCGTGAACCTTGAGCCCTAAGTCCTCACCCCTAAAACTAACCCTCAACCCTAAACCCCAAACCATAAACCATAAACCCGGAACCCTAAACCCTAGACCCAACCCTAGGGTTGCTTGGGGTCCAGCGACTTGGGCGCTGCGGAATCACTATGCTCACATGGATGCGCTGGGCCGGGCCGAGGCGGGTCACATAGCGTTAAAATATATATAAGGTCCACAAGGGAACACGATTAGCAACTAGTTAGTGCTTATTTAGAGCTATAGTTAATTGGGCTACAAGTTACAAGTACTGAAATATGTGCGTAGTAAGTCCTACTCGGAGGTTCAGGGCAACTTGTTAACCACTTATAACTGTACTTCTAACCACTTTATAGGCCCCTTAAGTGCCCAGTGCCCTAGTATGGCTATCCCTATTAAGCACTGCTTGCAAAAGGGGGAACATCCACCCAAACCCCCCTTAGCCCCCCTAACTTCCCCCTAAACCCCACTAAGCAACTTCAAACCTCTCTCAAAACAGAACCTGCAACAGGTCAACTTTCGCCCCCCCCCCCCCCCGCCAGCGCTAGACCCAAACTAAACCCTACGCCCCCCTTAATCCTAAACCCTAAACCTATAGGGGTGATGACCCCAATCCCTAAACCCTAAACCCTTTTGATTCACCTCCTTGAGCTGGCCAATGGTCGTGCTTTCCAAGTCTGCATTCGACAGGAAGTTCACCAGGAACTGCTTCCTTGTTGGGGTTACATTTAAAATGATCAGTGTTATTCCTTATATTGGGAATTTAAAACAAGAGTCATACTATAAGGGGTTTAGGGATGGTTTATACATGTAGGGTTTCTATCGGGTGTATGCAGGGTTTGGGGTCAAAAGATCATTCTTAGTCCTTATTGGGATTTAAGTAAGACAAACATGTACAATTATAGCCAACAAGGACCCAGGGAAAGCGCGCCTGACTCGGAGGGTTCACGGCACTGGTGACCCCTTAAGGGTTGAGGGGGATTTAGATGGGGTTTGTGCAGGGTTTGTATAGGGTTATATGGGGCTGATATAGGGTGGGCGATATAGGGTTGATTTAGGGTTGATATAGATTTGGGCTAGACGTGCCGAAAAATGGGTTATAAGTTTATAAGTACCATGAACTTCTAAGGAAGGATCCAAGGGTAGTTACATGGTCCCTTCATTAGGTCCCTTTAAGGAAGGTAGTTCTGATTGGGTTTTGTAGGGTACATGTGGGGTGTGTAGAGTCCAGTTTAAGGGCTATCCTTAGATCGTAGCCCTAAACCCTAAACCCTAAACCCTAAACCCTAAACCCTAAACCCTAAACCCCTACTGTGCTTTAGGGCAGGCTCCTTTGGCCCCGGCCAAGACCCCCCACTCCCGCGAAAGCCCTGATGAGTTTGCCCCCCACACATGGTCAGTTCTCCACAACTTTGGTCCCTTCTTTGGTGCCCTAAATAGGTTGAGGGTTTTAGGTTTAGGGTTTACTAAACCTAATTAGGGTTTAGGGTTTAGGGTTTAGGGTTTAGGGTTTAGGGTTTAGGGTTTTTAGGGTTTAGGGTTTAGGGAGCAGTCTCAATATGAAGCCGGAACTTGCGGACTCCTGAAAAGGAGAAGCCCACCAGTCCAAAAGCTCACGGTCGCGTCTTTATTTAGTGGCCGCCCTATAAGACGGACCCCCAAAGGGACGGCCGTTATCTCCCAACCCGGACGAACAAAGGGCCCCCGCATCCCCGTTGCTTCCGGGCTCTCTTCCGAACAAGATTTGAGATACCCTAAACCCTAAACCCCAAACCCCAAAAGAAGCAACACCTGAAACCTCATCACTTGATTGCAGCACTGAAAACAAACTAGCGGGATTTTAAGGCTTTGTACCTTATCGGGGTTCGACTTGGGGGTCAACCCTAAACCCTCAACCCTAAACCCTAAACCGGCGCGTAAGCCCCCTGCAGCTTGGCTTTGCTGGGCCCGGCATCCAATTTGGGCACCTTAGAAGGTGCGGAGTTTCCGATGTGAGTTCTATTTGGCTGCAATCTCGCCATCGTTCTACAGTAGGATGCTTATGCTTCACATATCCTCAAGGTAAAGGCTATGAGAAAAGCCGATTAACCAATTTTAACTGTAACTATACTTCACTTATAAGCCCCCCCAAGTGCCCTAATGTGGTTGCAATTGGACTGTAAGATACACTTGTAATTGGATTAGTAAGTACCATGAACCTCCAAGTGTAGGTAAACCTGTGACATACAATGGGTGCCTACTGCCCTGCATAACCCTACTTGAGCCCCTAAACTCTTTGGGTAGTTACCATGGTCCCTTGATTTGGGCCGGCGGGGAGAGGGGGGGGGTGCTATGAAAGTGAACGTTCAATGTGTTGTACAGGGATGCCTAAGGAGATTTCCCACTACTGCGAAGTATTCAGCGAACCCGTATAACCCTAAACCCTAAACCCTAAACCCTAAAAGGCCAGAAGCCTCGCAGCCCTTGAGCCCTAGGGGCTAAAGCTTTACATCTGGATGCCTTTTGCATGTACGAAACGAGGCCCTTAACAATGTTTCAAGGGGGCTCGCCCACGAGCTGCCCTCGTGCACTTTCGTATATTGTTGGGGTAGGCACCCTACATACCCCAAACCCTAAACCCGAAACCCTAAACCCTAAACCCTAAACCATGAGAGTCTCTGCAAGGGGAAGATTAGGAGGCGTGGAGGCCCTTTAGGTTTCAAGCTTGAAGCTTTAGGGCCTAAGGGCCTCAGGCCCCCCCAACCCTGAAAGCTCAGGCCCTGCACCCCCTCAACCCGGTTTAGGGTTTAGGGTTTATGGTTTAGGGTTTAGGGTTTCACCGTTTTGTGTGAGGAAACTGTTTGGGGGAGGGGGCCGCCAAACCGAGCACAACATCGAGGCCCGCTGGCCTTCGAAATTAGGTCTGCGTCAAGCCTAAACCCTAAACCCTAAACCCTAAACCCTAAACCCTAAACCCTAAATCCATCAACCCTAAAGTTCAGGGCCTAAAAACCCCTAAGTCTCGGGCCTTAACGCCTAAACCCTAAACCGCAAGAAACCACAAGAGGGACTGGCCCCTCCTTTGGCCCCATTTACCCTAGACCCTAAACCCTAAACCCTAAACCCCAAACCCTAAACCCTAAACCCTGTTTCATTTCGGTCTCAGCCCTGGCGCCCGAAGCTTGGGCATCGCCGCGCGGCGCGACCGCGCCGATCCTCCAAGCGCGGGGCTTTGCGCACGCTATTTCTCCCAGGGTATAGGGTTTAGGGTTTAGGGTTTAGGGTTTAGGGTTTAGGGTTTAGGGTCTCGGGTTTCGGGTTTCGGGTTTCGGGTTTAGGGTTTAGGGTTTCGGGTTTAGGGTTTAGGGTTTAGGGTTTCGGGTTTCGGGTTTAGGGTTTAGGGTTTAGGGTTTAGGGTTTAGGGTTTCGGGTTTCGGGTTTAGGGTTTAGGGTTTAGGGTTTCGGGTTTAGGGTTTAGGGTTTAGGGTTTCGGGTTTCGGGTTTAGGGTTAGGGGTTTAGGGTTTCGGGTTTAGGGTGGTTTCCGGGTTAGGGCTTAGGGTTAAGGTAGGGTGCTGTTTTTTGCCTCCCGCCCTAGCTGAAGGAAAGCCCACTTCGGCTAAAGGTTGAGGCTTTCGGGCTCAGCCCCTACTTGGAGGTTCGTGGTACTTATTAACCAATCATAACTGTACTTATAAGTGTACTTATAACCATATTAGGGCACTTAAGGGGCTTATAAGTGGGTTATAAGTACAGTTATAATTGGTTAATAAGTGCCCTGAACCTCCAAGTATTCACATCCCCCTATAATTCAAGGGGGCCCCCCCGCAAAAGAAAAGAAACTCGAGATGTGCTTCTAATATGAGGGGGTGTTTTGATCTACATGGTCATGTTTGGGGTCCACAGGGTTTAGGGTCTAATTAGGCTCCAGGATGTTGATGTTGGTTGGTTTGAGGCGTTTGGGAGCCCTCAACCAACCCCCCAATTCGGAATGGGGTTTTTACAGGCGGGGTCGGCTTCGGCAGGATTTTCCGGAAAGTGGTTTTTTATAATTAGGGGTACGTTTAATGCAAGGGGGATGAGACTAAAAACCCTCAACAAAAACCCCCAAACCCTGAACCCCAGAACAAGCCCTGACCCCTAACCCCTAAACCCCTAACCCCAAACCCAAAACCCAAACCCAAAACCCAAAACCCCAAACCCTTTTTTCAGGTAGTACTTAATGCTTCTAGTAGTCGCGGGCAATGGTCAAAAGTCGCGGGCAATGGTCAAAAGTCGCGGGCAATGGTCAAAACTCGCGGGCAATGTTCAAATCTCGCAGGCAATGTTCAAAACTCGTGGGCAATGGTCACCCCCCCCCCCTCCCCCCGGAAATGGTCACGGGAAATGGTCAGGTGAACTGGTGGTCCGAGGGGTGGGGTGGGGTGACTCCGGAGAAGCGATCGAGTGGGAGAATACTTTTAGCCCTTTAGGAAGTAAGAGGTTCGGATGTGGTGGGATTCTTTGGATGGGTGGGTGTTGGTATGGCTGGACTAGACTCTTCACGCTCAACGCCCAGAACCGCTGAACCCTAAACCCCAAACCCTAAACCCCAAACCCTAAACCCAAAAACCCTAAACCCTAAACCCCTAACCCTAAACCCTAAACCCTAAACCCTGTACCCTAAACCCTAAACCCTAAACCCGAAGAAGGCTGCCCAACAGGTGGGCCTCGGCCGACGCCGCGGGCCCGCCCGCCCCGGCGACTCGGCAGTAAGGGCTTTAGGTTTAGGGTTTAGGGTTTTGGGTTTAGGGTTTAGGGTTTAGGGTTTAGGGTTTTTGGGTTTTTGGGGTTTAGGGTTTAGGCCCCCTGGTTCTTAGTCGGGGATGGGGGGTTTGGGGCCCTATATGTACCCTTGAAGGGATTATATAGGGTACCTCATTCCCTCATTCCCTCCTAAGAAAATCAGCCAGAAATTCTTAACGCGCCGAATTATCACCCTAGTTGTAGGTTTAGGGTTCAGGGTTCAGAGTTTAAGGTTCAGCGTTAGGGTTGAGGCTTGAGGGTTTGCGGGTTCGGGGTTTAGGCCTGAGGCTTTAGGCTTCTTTCTGTTTGCCAGCGCATTGCAGACACCATCTAGACTACTTGGAGGTACCCGGAACTTAATCCCTGTTCCCCTAAAGAGAAAAAAGGATCCTTTTTGTTCATATATAAGAAAGCCCATAACCCAAAAAGTAAAAAGGATCCCTAACACTGATCTAGGGAAGGCCAGGCAAGAACCCTTCATCAATGAAGGAGCGTGGGTCCTAGCGTTGAGGCACCCGGAAGGCCCAACAGAAACCTTTTTGGCCAAGGACCTTAGGGCTTCACGTTTAGGGCCTAAGAAGGGGCTTCTTGTTATGGTGGTTTCCGAAATTCGGGTACCTTCTTGGGGTCCTTGCTGTAAGGGAATCCTACTCTTGTGGGGCGATGTTCAGGGCCCCCTATTCTCGTCAACCCCCACCTGAGCCCTTAAACAAGAGAATAAGAAAAAAAGAAAGCGAGAGAGATAGAGAGAGAGAGAGAGCTCTTGAGCTGGGCGCCCGGGCCGGCCCGTAGCCCGAATCCTGGACGCCCCACCAAGCTTCCTGCGGGCTCCGGGGCTTCGGGCTGAGGGTTCAGGGTTTAGGGTTTCGGGCTTAGGGTTTTCGGCGTAGGGTCCCAGATTCAGAGTGCCAGGGCTGCAAGGGTTTGGGATTGCAGGTTTCAGGTGTTTAGGGGAGCCACAGGATTCCGAGGTTTACAGGGATTTGGGGGTTCCCATGTAACATGTTTCAGGGCTTTTGGGATGCTTGAGGGCTCTCTGAGGGCGACTTAAGGGGGGGAGGCGCTGCCGGTTCCCGGCTCCCGAAAAACTTAGTGTCTAGGGTCCCCAAATCCTAAACCCGTCACCCTGAACCAACCCTTGCACACGTCGTGGCCTTCAACAACTGCACAGACCCAAGAGAGCGCCAGACCCTGAGCCAAGCCTAAGCCAACCCCAGGCACCATGCGCTGTCCCACTACCCTCACTACCCTCCTGCCTGCAGCCCTACAGTAAACCCTAAACCCCAAAAACCCCAACCCTAAACCCCAAACCCCAAACCCTAAACCCCAAACCCCAAACCCTAAACCCCAAACCCCAAACCCTAAACCTTAAACACCAAACCCGGAATCCCCTGCCCGTCCCTGCACGAAGCTTTGGCTTGGCAGCCGCCTTTCGGGCGGGCGCCTGGGAAGGGCTCGGGACTTCGTCATGAAGGGTTTAAGGTTTAGGGTTTAGGGTTTAGGGTTTAGGGTTTAGGGTTTAGGGTTTAGGGTTCGGGTTTAGGGTTTAGGACCCACACCTATTCCATCATCACGATGATCATCGTCACGGAAGTAGCAACACCAAAAGAGAAGAATGCCAATAAGGAATGCTTTTAAGATCATAACATTAAGAATAACAATAACAATCGCGACGGCACAATAACCATCGCAGTCGCATCAAGCTACATTAACAACAAAAAACGCTATAACAAGTTGCAATGCAGCTACATGAAATGAAAACATGTTGTAGCATGTTACTAGGGCCACTATAACCCCCACTATACCCCAAATTAAACCCCCTTATACCCCCCTCTTATACCCCCCCCCCCTTTTCCCCCCTTTTCTGGCCCTTATACCACCGGCCGCTGCCTTGAGAGGCGCCTCCCTCAGCGCAGCGTCACTGGTCGGAGGCAGGCCCGCCAAGAACCGGACCTGGAAATTTGCTGGGGGATGTTTTTGTTCCTTATTTGTTCCTGGTCTAGGGGTTCAGGGGTTCAAGGCTCAAGGGGTTTGGTCTTCGGTTTTCGGGTTTCGATTTAGGGTGGGGGAGGAGGGGGTGAGGGGGGGAAATCTTCGGCTTGGAGGTGTGGAGGGCTCTTGGAGTATGTTGTTGCCGTTCTCCTCGGCATGTCATCCCCAAGAAGGATGAACAACGAAAGCGAGGGCCTGGAATCTCCGGGTCTGGATTTCTTGCGCAGGCAAGGTTTCGCAACAAAAAGGGCACACACACACACACACACACACACACACACACATGGTGGTTTCATGGGCTTGAAGGGAACCCAACCCCTAAGACAGGGAACGATACGGTGCATCGCTTTCATGCCTGCAAGGTCGTGCTGGCCCTCTACGCTACACCCCACTCCCTCCCTCTCTCTCTCTCCGGCGTACTCGGCCGCCCTAAAAAACCCGAAGGCCACATAGCTGGACCGAGTCTTGACTAAAGAGCCCCCCTGAAAGGCCCGAGGCCACGGCAATTCGGAACGCCAGCTGCTTGGAAGAGCCTTCGCTTGGCAGCCTTAGGCTTTGCATATGGGCATGGGTCGGCTCTCCTTAAGACGGGCACATTTTGGGGGGTTTACGAAAACAGGGGACCCCGAAAATAATACCATATATATATATATATATATATAGATATAGATATATATAGAACCCCAAATAGCAGGAGGCCCCTTACAATAAGGACCCCAGTAAGGCCACCCCCTAAAATCGTAAACCACCCCTGTGGATTTTGCTGGAGCTCAGGGTCTACAAATGGAGGCTTTAGAAGTCGGCCTAAACCCTAAACCCTAAACCCTAAACCCTAAACCCTGAACCCTAAACCCTAAACCCTAAACCCTAAACCCTAAACCCCAAACCCGAAACCCTAAACCGTTGCGTGGCCAAGGCAGAGAGTCGCGCCAACTGTTGGCGGCATGGCATTGTGACATCGTCGGATTGGTTTAGGACACAAATCAGACCATGGCCGACCAGACGTCACACAAAGGGTTTAGGGTTTAGGGTTTAGGGTTTAGGGTGTAGGGTGTAGGGTTTAGGGTGTAGGGTTTAGGGACGTGTATCCACAATTGCTGCACCATGGGCCCTCCAAAACCGTCAACCCGGTTAGCGCCAGGCACTCTTTGTACATCTAGGCGTCCTGAACTTCCGGGCAAGCACGCTGCGAAGCGAGATGAGCAGCGCTCGTGGCTACACAATCACGCCAGGCATCCTGAACCCTCCGAAACCTTGCTCTGTTTGGGGTTTCGGGCTTATTGTGTGCACAAAGCGGTTAGGCTCCAGCGGGTTCATGGAGCAGAGGGTCCACCAAAAGGTTTAGGGCTTAGGGGGCTTAGGGGCCGCTTTCGCGGAAGTTGAACCCAGACTCGGTCTTGAAATCTCAGCCCGATCCCTGAACCGAACATCCGAATGTTGCCGGTGGAGGGGGGGGTGGGGTACTCCAAAACTCTGAAAAACCCCTATTTAAAACAAAAACCTAAACAAACCCCGAGTTTTCCAGTTACCAACTTCAGCAGCTCCCGATTAAGGCGACGACTGCAGCGTGTCCACCATGTCCTAATGGGGTTTAGGGTTTAGGGTTCAGGGTTTAGGGTTTTGGGACCAGGGTTTGGGCAAAGGGGGTTGAAAGCTCTGGCGCTCTGAGACCTGACGCCTTTGAAGAATGGATCCGGGTGCAGCCGATAGGGGCTTGCGGGGTACCCAGGGCTACCTTGAGATACGCTTCCGCATTTTTAAGAGTACGCAAAAAGGCTACTCTAGGTAGGGCTTTGGAGCTCTGCTGGGCGATTGAGGCTTCGAAACGCTTAGAGGCTCGCTTATCCAAGAAGAGGACCTTACAGGTATTCCTGCTTAGACACGAATTAAACCCTAAACCCTCAATACTAAGCCCTAAACACCAAAGCCAAAACCCTAAACCCTAAGCCCTAAATACTAAGCCCTAAACCCTAAACCCTAAACCCGGCTGGGGGCGGGGGGGGTTCTCACTACTCAGAGACTCCAAAAACCCTTGGGAGTCTCTGGGTACTCCCGAAACCATCGCAGGAGGCAGGGATTGAGAGCAGCGCCTGGAGCTCCGACATGTCTGCGCCCGCCAAAGCCTCGTACCTGGCGCGCAGATGCGTAAACCCTAAACCCTAAACCCCAAACCCCAAACCCTAAACCCTAAACCCAAAACCCATAGTGCTTGCAGGCCTTTTTGCAGGGTCAGTCGCGCAGGGTACTTGACATATTGTTGGGCAAAACGCCTTTGCACATGGTCCGAAAGTTTCGACGTTTCGACTCCGAACCAAAAAGAGGTGCTGTGCTCCGGCATGACCCTTGTCCCTGTAAATGCCCTAGCCCTAAACCCTAAGCCCTAAACCCTAAACCCTAAACCCTAAACCCTACACCCTACAGTCCTACAGTATACCCTAGACCGCCCTTCCATGGCCCCTTGAAGCAAAGACCCGTCGAACTCCAACGGTCTGCGCCGCCTCTCCGCAAACTCCTCCGGAATCTTCCCAGAGTCCACGAGGTCCTCCACCTCAGCGCACGATTCGCAGCTTAGAGTGGGGTACTTCTTAGGCAGGTTGCAATGATATGGCTGCACACGTAGGGGTTCTACAAAGGGACGATGCTGGCAATTCTTGAGGCTGCTGACCCTAAGCCTTAAACCCTGTGGGATTTAGGGTTCCTTGGGTTTGGGTTGAGGGGCGTATTTCTCTAACAGAACCCTGAACGCGGCAAGCCATGGTGCAACTATGCCCCCCCTCCCCCCACCACAGCAGAACCCTGCACCCTAAACCCTAAACCCTAAACCCTACACCCTAAACCCTAAACCCTGATTGCCCGGAAAAACCATGCTCGAAACTTCGCCCTTTCACCCCCCGAGGACCGAGGCCCCCACCATGAAAAGGTTCAGGGTTTCCCTGAAAGATCTATCATTGGAGTTTGGGGCTTAGGGTTCAGGGTTTGGGGCTTAGGGATGCTTAGGGTGTAGGGTTTAGGGATGCTTAGGGTTGAGGGTTTAGGGTTCAGGGTTTAGGGTTTAGGGTTAGGGTTTAGGGTGTAGGGCTTGGCGTTTGGCGTTTCGGGTTTAGGGATCCGAAGCCCTGCACCCCGACAAACCTGAAGCAAGCCTCTCTGGTGCCGACAGCCTTTTTCTCTGCAGAATTTCGCCGGTATCCCCCAGGTGGCTCCATGAATTACCGGGGTTTTAGGGCATAGGGCTTAGGGTTAAGGGTCTAGGGCTTTAGGGTTTTTAGGGTTCTTAGGGTTTTTAGGGTTTTTAGTGTTTTTGGGGTTTTTAGGGTTTTTAGGGTTTTTAGGGTTTTTAGGGCGAACAAAGCGCAGACAAGACAAAACCTCCCCGAAGTTGTTCATTCTCCGGCGGGGGGGCAGGGGCGCCTATGGATCCTGAAGGACCTTTTGTTCGGCTTAAGGGTTTAGGGCTGTTGGTTTTGGGGTTTAGGGCCTGGGGCTTGGGGTTTGGGATTTTGGTCTAAGGGTGTAGAGCTGAGGGTTTAGGGCTCACTCCATGCTGACAGCCCCTCAACCAGTGGACTCTCTCAACATCTCAGCCCCAAACCCTAAACCCTAAACCCTAAACCCCCCAGCCCAGGTTCAAGGTAACTACTGGTTCGTGTTCATGCTGTTCGGGCCTTCCAGGATCTTCTAACCCTAAACCCTTTTTTTTGCCCTAAACCCTTAACCCTAAACCCTAAACCCTAAACCCTGCTAGCATAAGGGGGGGAACCATCCCAAGGCCTTATTTCAAGGATCCGATTCCCCAAACACGCCTAAAGCCCCGCATCCTGCAATGCTGTGTACAAGTGTGGGCACAGTGGGCCAGGATCTGCAGCAGCCCCGGATGGTTCAGGGCTTAGAGTTTAGGGTTTAGGGTTTAGGGTTTAGGGTTTTGGGTTTTGGGTTTAGGGTTTAGGGTGTAGGGTTTAGGGTTTAGGGTTTAGGGCAGCAAACTCGCAAACACCGCCAACCCTCTTGCGCAGGGGCTGACGCTGTCCGAGGCACACCCGAAATCCTAAACCCTAAGCCCAAAAACTTAAACACTAAACCCTAAATGTAACCGTAAACCCTAAGGACCAAAAGAAGAACGTTCGGGGCTAGGTTCCCAGTTGCCCTCGCACCCTGAACCGGCCGCGTGCTGTGCTCTTCAGGCTCCTACGCCTTGCTCAAGAGCTCTGCGAGCACTTGCCTTGGCGTTGAGGGTTTAGGGTTTAGGGTTTAGGGCTCAGGGTTTCAGTGCTTAGTTGGTGTGGAGAACTCTTAGAGAATCAGGCCCCTGAAGGCCTTATACCGGAGGACATGAGCTACCTCCTCAATTCCCGAGTCGCCGTCGCCACACAAAAGGGGGGGGGGGGGATCCGTGTTGTAGTACGGCCCCTTGGACTCTTAGCATACCCAAACAGCCCGGAAATTAAGATTTCAAACGACCATGTACATGTACAAAGCCGCATGCACGTATACATACATGTGTGTGCGTGTTGAACATGCATGTGTACAACGCCCATATACAGCACAGGTGATAGTGTTCGGGGAGTCTGCTGTGACGTTCCTCGCACTCTTGTTCTAAGGCGGGCCTTTGATGCTGCCTGGGGGGACACTTGTGCCACCTTTTTGCATCTGGGCTCGCAGCGACAGCCATGCAACCTCAAAAAAACCGAAACCCTGGCCCTTCTTGAACATAAACCCTCAACGCTAAACCCTTCTTTTGTGCAGTAGGCTGCTGAAGGGTCTCACCTAGTCGGTGGGCAGTACCCTAGACCCGAAACCCTGTTTGCAACTGGTCTGCAATCGACTGCCAGGAAAAGAACACCCTAAACCTCTAACCCCAAACCCCAAATCTCAACCCTGAAGAGCACGGGGCATCCAACAAAAGCGCTTTGGGGTGGACTGATGGTTTTTTAAGCCCCCTCACGCCCGCGTCATGTTCTAGGAGTCGATCCTGAACCCCCCCCCCCTCCCCCAAAAAAACCCCACGCTCGCCCTCACTCACTTCCTCTCACGCATCTGTCCAGCCGAAGATCTGGCACTCTTCTCCAGCCAGCCACTCGTGCGCCAGCGCCGCCTGTGAGACTTGCGTGGGTTTGCGATGCTTCGGCCCTTCTCTTGGGGTGAAAGGCGAAGGCCTGGGATGTTCCCCCCCCTTATACTAAGAGTCCTTAATAGGGATTCTAGTACCCCCTACTAAAACCCCTAGTAAGGACTGTTAGTAAAATTAAGCGGGGGGCATCCCATGCCAAGGCCTTCACATTCCAGGTGTTGGATCTGGGTGGGCTCTCGCCGGTAGAATCAAGTGTTTAGGGTTTAGGGTTTAGGGTTCAGGGTTTAGGGTTTAGGGTTTAGGGTCTAGGGTCTAGGGTTTTAGGGTTTAGGGTTTAGGGGCCCTGGGCCCCGAACGCTCGGATTCGTTGAAGCCGCCAAAGATCGGAAGGGATTAAACTACTATTTGCTTAAGGACCCCGCAAACATGAAAACGTTTTTTCCTTATAAGGGCAAGAGGGGATTACTCTGGGTTCTTAAGCAAATTGTAGTTAAGGCCAGGCTTAACCCGAAAAACCTGTGAACCCTCAAGAAACTCCCCTGGAGCCCTGTACAATACCCCGACTCCGGAGCCCCCTCTCTGCCTTAAACCCCTAAAACCTTGAACCCTAAACCCTAAGCCCTTAAACAACTCCCAGACCCTTATAGAAGCCCTTGAGCCGCGAAGCCCAAGAAATTCTTGAAACCCTTAAGCCCTTAAACTCTTACCCCTAACCCTAAACCTTAAACCCTAAACCCTAAGCCCTAAACCCGAAACCCCAAACCCTAAACCCTAAACCCCCCCCCCCGCCCCGGCCGACCCGACAGCCCACACGATCCTCGGGTGTTGGCTGGAGCAAGCGGCCAACGAAGTCGTGGGCCTGGGCGAAGTGTCGGGTTTAGGGTTTAGGGTCTAGGGTTTAGGGTTTAGGGTTCAGGGTTTGGGGCTCTTTAAGGCTTTTAAGGGCTTTTGGGGATTGCTGGGGGGGGTTCGGGGGGGGAATCTGACCGAACCTCAGAAGATTCTCATCTGTAGGGTTGGGCGGTGTAAAGGTGCAAGGGGCTCTTCCCAACCCCTAAACCAGTGTAAACCGAAATGCCCCAAAGGCCCGCTCTTTCGGGTTCAACAGGGCCCGCTGCCTGAACCCTAAACTCTAAGCCCTAAACCCTAAACCCTTTTTTGAGCACGGACTGAGGAAGCTGCCGGCAACCTGATAGCAGAGCCTTCCCGCGATTCTATACAAGCAGGGGATGCAATCACAGGTGTGACTTAGGTAGAAGGGGTCTCCCTACGCTCCCTTCTTCTCTTCTCGCTGAATGCCTGTTTCTCAGCCAAGCGTTCATCCTTGAGGTAAGTCAATGCGCAAACAGGTAGTTTTGCTGGAGTTCTCAGCGAATCATCCGAACTTTGCATGCTGCCTGTCGACGACCGTAAAGCTAACCACGGCTCAGTGAGATGAGCTGGTAATGCTGCGGAAGTGACAGCCTCGAGAGCAGACGTGGACTCCGTGGAAGATCGCTGTAAACCTGATAGACTTCGCTGAAGATGATCGAGTTGCTCCTCCACCATCCGAAGGGCAGCCTGCGTCTCCTCTGTCACCCTCTCGGCAATGCTTTTGCATTCGTCTTCAGTGTACAATATGGAGGAATTTTGGGTGCTAACATCACATCCTGAGCTGGGCGTGCCATCATGCACTTCAATCCCGAGGCTCTGCGCGAGTGAAATGATCTGTCCTCCTCGTACATCGCGTGAGCCAACCATAAGGTCTGCTGGCCTGCGCGTGGATGCTGAAGACCTTGGCTCCCGAATCTTCAATGAATACATCGCGCTCCAGAGCTGCTCCACCGTTTCGCTGTAGTTGGCACGCTTAGTCAGGCGGATGCTGTAGGCAATGCATGCCATAATTTTCTTCTTCTCTGGAGCCATGCGATCAGACATGCGAGCGCCTAATTAAGGAACACGTGCACACCCGCTAGGGTCTCGTAGCCAAACCTTGAGCCAAAATGGCTTGAGCCAAAATGGCTTGAGCCATAGCCATTTACCCTAAACCCTAAACCCCAGACCCTAAACCCCAAACCCTAAACCCCAAACCCTAAACCCCAAACGCCGCCGAATTCGGGGATCCTGAAGGCAGCCCGGCGGCGCTCGGCGCAACGGAGCCGGGCAAGCGGAAAGTGCACTGGAGGATGCCTCGGGGCTTAGGCTTCGGCTCTCGCACTCGGGTTTAGGGTTTAGGCTTTAGGGTTTAGGGTTTAGGGTTTAGGGTTTAGGGTTTAGGGGTTCGGGTTGAGTGTTTAGGGTTCAGGGTTTAGGGTTTCGGGTTTCGGGTTGAGGACTTAGGGACAACCCAGACCCCTGGAAGCATCCAATTAAAGTAGTCGAGGGTACAATTTGGGGGCTCTACTTTTGGGATCCTCCCAGGGGTCTGGGAAGGCAAGGATGTCTCCACGAGAAGGATGTGCTCAACCTACCCAACAACGGCACGGCACCACCAAACTGAGGGAAGTTAAATCGCTCGACCAAAACTGATTCAAGCAGGGCATACAGTACCTTCACCAGCAGCATCCCCTCTTTGTGGGGGCAGTGCCCTTTCTCACTCCTTCTTGGCATTATGTTCCCAGACGAGCCCACTCCTCCCCAAACCCTCAAACCCCCCTCTCAACCCTCAAAACCTCAAAGCCCCCTTAAAACCCACCTCAACCCCCTTCA